GTCCATCTACTCTCCAGTGTACAGTTTAACATTCTGTCCATCTGCTCTTCAATGGTCAGTTTAATATTCTGTCCATCTGCTCTTCAATGATCAGTTTAATATTCTGTCCATCTACTCTCCAGTGTACAGTTTAACATTCTGTCCATCTGCTCTTCAATGATCAGTTTAATATTCTGTCCATCTACTCTTCAATGTACAGTTTAACATTCTGTCCATCTGCTCTTCAATGGTCAGTTTAATATTCTGTCCATCTACTCTTCAATGTACAGTTTAACATTCTGTCCATCTGCTCTTCAATGGTCAGTTTAATATTCTGTCCATCTACTCTCCAGTGTACAGTTTAATATTCTGTCCATCTGCTCTTCAATGATCAGTTTAATATTCTGTCCATCTGCTCTTCAATGGTCAGTTTAATATTCTGTCCATCTACTCTCCAGTGTACAGTTTAACATTCTGTCCATCTGCTCTTCAATGATCAGTTTAACATTCTGTCCATCTGCTCTTCAATGGTCAGTTTAATATTCTGTCCATCTACTCTCCAGTGTACAGTTTAACATTCTGTCCATCTGCTCTTCAATGATCAGTTTAATATTCTGTCCATCTACTCTTCAATGTACAGTTTAACATTCTGTCCATCTGCTCTTCAATGGTCAGTTTAATATTCTGTCCATCTACTCTTCAATGTACAGTTTAACATTCTGTCCATCTGCTCTTCAATGGTCAGTTTAATATTCTGTCCATCTACTCTTCAGTGTACAGTTTAACATTCTGTCCATCTGCTCTTCAATGGTCAGTTTAATATTCTGTCCATCTACTCTCCAGTGTACAGTTTAACATTCTGTCCATCTGCTCTTCAATGATCAGTTTAATATTCTGTCCATCTACTCTTCAATGTACAGTTTAACATTCTGTCCATCTGCTCTTCAATGGTCAGTTTAATATTCTGTCCATCTACTCTTCAATGTACAGTTTAACATTCTGTCCATCTGCTCTTCAATGGTCAGTTTAATATTCTGTCCATCTGCTCTTCAATGTACAGTTTAACATTCTGTCCATCTGCTCTTCAATGTACAGTTTAATATTCTGTCCATCTGCTCTTCAATGTACAGTTTAACATTCTGTCCATCTGCTCTTCAATGGTCAGTTTAACATTCTGTCCATCTGCTCTTCAATGGTCAGTTTAATATTCTGTCCATCTGCTCTTCAATGTACAGTTTAATATTCTGTCCATCTGCTCTTCAATGTACAGTTTAACATTCTGTCCATCTGCTCTTCAATGGTCAGTTTAACATTCTGTCCATCTGCTCTTCAATGTACAGTTTAACATTCTGTCCATCTGCTCTTCAATGGTCAGTTTAATATTCTGTCCATCTGCTCTTCAATGTACAGTTTAATATTCTGTCCATCTGCTCTTCAATGTACAGTTTAACATTCTGTCCATCTGCTCTTCAATGGTCAGTTTAACATTCTGTCCATCTGCTCTTCAATGGTCAGTTTAACATTCTGTCCATCTGCTCTTCAATGTACAGTTTAACATTCTGTCCATCTGCTCTTCAATGGTCAGTTTAATATTCTGTCCATCTGCTCTTCAATGTACAGTTTAACTCCGTACAGTTTATAATTATATGCGCGTGCCAGTTTATCTTTTCATCAATGTACTATTTATCATTTCTGTCCATGTGCTCTTCAAAGCACCGTGGAAAAGAAGGACGTAAAGCTCCATTCATTGCATTTTTTAATGTACTGGTCATCATCCGTCGACGTGCTCTTCTTCGTACAGTTAATCATTTCTGTCCATCTGCTCTTCAACACATTGTTGGTGTACTTCATTACTTTCATCTCATTTCACTACACAGTTTATCATTCTATTCATCTGTTCTTTTATGTACTGTTTATCATTCCGTACATCCGCTCTTTACTGTCCTATTTATCATTTCGTCCATATTCATATCATGTGTTTATCATTCTGTACAACTGCAGTGCATATCATCGTGGTTATGCTGATTATATCTAAAACTATATACTCTACTTTCCAAATATAAGAGTTCTCCCCTTCGAAATAATCTACCTGGAGTATAAGACACTTTCTCGTCACCCTTTTCTGCAACGTTGTATACACTCCTGAGATTTCCTGGGATTCTTGGTGACCTCTGTCTTTAAACAGATCCCCTTGATGACCCCATGGGTTTTGAAAAAAGGAAAAAAAATCACACAGAACCAGGTCGGGAAAGAAGGGAAGTTGCTCCAACTAGACAATGTTCTTCGTGGCAAAGAAATGCCGGATAAAAACCTTTTAAACCTTTAAAAATTTAAATTTTCCCGATAATAGATCCATTCATGGTTCAATTTAGAGTGAAAAATTTGATTATCAATTTATTTTATAAATTTAGTTTTGTCTAATCAAGTTTCATTTTAATTCGCATTTGATAAAAATTCGGTTGCAATTCAGATCAATCTTTCCATTGACGTTCCTAAGGTTATAGAGACTGTCGAGAGTTGCCTTTTCTTTCAAAGATTTCGCAGAAGATTTTCACGAAAAACTTAATTTGTTTCGCAAATCGTCATGATAAATTTTGATTTTGACTAACCATACGTAACTTTGGATCGCAGAAGGAGTCACTTTGATCGGAAGCTACAATGTAATACCGCTTAAGTTACCGATTTGGGAACAGTGGTTGTAACAATCTCTATCTGGGGTTAGATACTTTAAACTATATATTGTATACTAATAAATATCTTCAATATTCTGAATGATTTTGACTGAAAATCTTACAATGAACGATTTAATGCTCTGTCAGATCCTTTTAATACGATCAGACATGAATTTGTGATAGACATTCTAAACAAAAAACAACGTAACACAATTTTTCTCCAAGTCGTACCTCACTAAAAGCGGATATTACAAATTTAATGAGGTCAAGGTAATCCTCAACCTAAATCTAAAGATTTGAAGAGGTAATAAGGCACATTTCATTTTTTCAGAAATACGAGGATATTGTGATAAGATAATATCATGTTTACTTACTCAAAGAAACTATGTACAACCTGATTACAGATCTTATACACGTCTTGATTTTTTTCCGCGCGAATTACTTCTTTCACTATTCATAACCAAGTGGTGCGCAAAACTAGAATTTGACTAATATATCGTGAGATAACACCTGATCTATGACTAAAGCAACTTGCTAGGAATGAAATATATTCCAACTATCAAATTTTTCCCCATGTAATACATTAAGGGGGAGTGGCTATCTCATTTTTGTAGTGAATATGCAATATCTTTTTCAAATCGTTCTTGCGACGAAGAAAATGTAAATTGCTTAATATCGAGTCTTTTCCTTAACTTTCCTTTACTAAATGATATAGTGTCGACGGAACATAATGATAATAAAAAAATCAACGGACGTCTCATTAAATGACTTTTTCTTTGTTGAGGCTGTCAGTGGTCTACCTTAAGAGACGACTGTAATATGAATACCACTTATTATTATAGATTACCGAACAGTTTTATAGATTAGCATTATCACCCACTAAGATTGGTAAAATATGTAATCTGATTAAATCATTAATCCTTCTTTATGCTTACATAGTTCAAACTAGAGTATTCAATCAACACAGTGGGTTAACGCGTCCCTGGTTACCAAGTTACAATAGGGAGACCCATTTGACTATTCTTATAAGTGTATTTCTATCAGACATTTACCAATAGATAAGTAGCTGTTTAGTTTAACATTAATATAACAGGTAGGACAATTATTTGTTATAATATTTATATTCAACTTTAATTCATATTATTTTTTTACGTATACATCTTCAAAGGGATTTAAGGTTATTGCTTTTTAACCCGAGGTGGAAGGTATTTCACAAGATTTTGTTAGATTGTCTTATTCATTTACAACATATCTTATCAATTGATAATTTCAATACACTTTTTAATAGAATACAGAGAGGTGTCAATCTTTCGCATACGAGAAACGTGACTATCAAAGACATAAGAGAAACCGTAAACTGTAATTCTTTCTGAAAGATTAAAACCTACCCTATTCACCTATGTTGAATAAGTAAGGGAAAGAAAAAGTATATAGATGCATTTTAACAAAATTTGAAGTAATAATTCAATAATTTAAAGAAACATATTAAGTTTTTGATTAATGCAAATGAGATATTTCGAATGATTTTCCAATAGAAATAATTCGAGACATTGAAATAATTACATAGTAACAGTGATGTCCTAAAAGCAAGTTATAAATATTATAGACATTATTGTATTATACTTTTAAGGCTATTGTATATTAATGAATGGTCTGATAATTTCGATATATTATTTTATACCTGTATAGCCTAGGTGAACAGTTCAAAGTCATTACTAACATATAGATATGTTTCTATAAACAACCGGTTATGTTCCATATTAGCCCTTATAAAATATAACACTGCACATAGGTGGGCGGCCTCATTTGCATGGGAGGGAATAGCTCACAGATACTGGTTTCAGCTTCAGTTTGTTCCTCAAGGGGGAGGGGGTGCAAATATACGCCTACCCCATAGTTACGGGCCTGTTCGTACCCCTAACCATTTTTACACAATCTATTGGTACCTCTTTGCCTTTCACAAGCATAGTTGGGAACCAAACATCAAAATTTGATTCTGTCGTAGTAAGGTATTCAATTCAATATTCATTTCATTTAAATTGGTGTTTCTATGACCATGTGCCTGTTTCAACTGTGCACCTTACCACAGTGTCCAACTTTTATGTTTGAAGTTTAAATTTATATCTTAACTGATTAGACTCACAATGGCGTTATACTTTAAGAACTCGACAGAAAGCAATAAGTCAATTATAACGTTAAGAATTTCTTTTATGTTGATATTAGCACTAGAAAAATTTCAATTTATTAGCACTATTCTCAGTGTTGCATTTTAAATCTTACTATTTCAGAATGAGCCTCTCTGAAGTATTTAGACCCAGTACAGGAGCTCTGCTTGTCAGGGATAACACATCCAATGGTCACCCAGTTACACCTAATATGTTTATAAGAGATCGCCCTGCCACGCAAGGAGGTAACAGATTTGGACAGCTGAGCAGAAGTCAGTTTTTCACCAGGCACAATCCTCATCCCCACAGAGTTCGACATTTTAAAGGTATGTACATAATTGTTATTAGACAGTGACAATGACTCGCAAAATTTGACATTCTCAAGGTTATTATTGTCGATAATGACAAAATATTGCTGCATACAAATTAAATGGTTTGGAAAGTCAATTTTTTTAACCATGTCGACAGTTAATCGTTCGTGAAGTACTTATGAGTTAAAACTCTTAATTTGTTTCTATTATAGGTTTATTAGATGTTCCAATTTGTTCAGTAAATGATGATGGACATTTCGCTACCAACAAATACAGTTTAAATTTCCCTCCCAATAGTTACAATTTATCAAAGTTGGGAAACTATCCAGGTCGAATTCCTGTTAATTCTTTGAACGTGGATTCTAATCGACATCAGATCAACACAGTTACTGGTCTGGATTATTTTACTGGTTTAAATAGTTATCCTTTCAAAGAAAAGGCTGTTCCTAATGTGGGTTTAGGTAAGTGATTTTCTTGGAAAACATTTCGTCTTTATAAAAATTCAATTACCATGCGATATTTTGAAATACAATGTAGATATATATTGATATGACTCAATTTCTATTAAAGCTGTGCAACATAACTTATGGGTTAATACGACGATGACGGAAAATTGTTTCTAAGCAAAAACCACTCTTCCGAAACAAATTCGCGTATTCATGAGTGTATGTTATATTGATAGTGCCAGTAAACGAAGCTTGGAGAGAGCAATTAAAGGCCTTCACAGATCAATTAAATACTGAAGAGAGACCAAAAGAAGAAAGACCGAGAACTACGATGTATTCTCGAGATACTGGTAGATTGATACCACCACCATCCAGAGCCTTATCTCGAGCTTCCAGACGAGGTAACAGACCAATGATACCTGGTGGACCACTAGAACATATAGCTATGAATCCTGATATTGAGAATATGGTAAGTTAGATTCCAATTTAAATAGCCAGAATGTAGAGCAGAGTATGCACTGAATCTAGAATTACTAGACAAACTCTTATATAACTTAATATGCACAGGCTATCGGTGATAGATAATGGTATTACAATTACATTTACGGTATTTGACGGATTTTTCAGGCTCGCAGCTACAGGGGGGAAGGGGGTGCCCCACAAAATGGATTGCTACCCTGAAAAAATTCAACCAACTAATTCCATTGTTGCATATATATTATGACCCTCCGGACAATCAAGCCTGGTTACGGTTCAGGGATGTGTATATAGGCCTATGCTGTATGCCACTGAAACTGAAATACAGCATTATAAATGGTACAAGAAACAAGAAAAAACACAGTCATATAGTTAAAAGCATTTCTTCCTGAAAGCTTATGTCATATTTGTTTCATTCTAGGTGATGACAATGCTATGTCAAATTCTACAAACAGAAGATACTAACGCTGTTCAACAATGGTTATGTTCTGCTGGAGAAAGAGGTAAGGAGACAAGACCTCTGTTCATGTCCAGAGATGAATAATAAAATGAATGCGTTTCTTCAAGTTTTATGTTTAGTAAAAACGTAAACGACATCAACCAGCTGGTAGAATCTTTTCAATGGGAATACAACCTTTTGGCTGCAGCATCTCGATTTGACGATTGAAAGTCGAGAATGGTCATATTGTTCAAAAATGACCATTGTGAAGTCCTCGTTACAACAGTAGAGATGTAGAAGTAGAAGAACTGATCATGAAGTCAGTCAGTTTGTTAAGATATAACTTTAATGACACATTAATCTAATCCTTTACCGGATTTACAATAGGCCTAAATGTAGTTCTTTTTTTTTTATAAACATGCAACATTTAAAAGTAAAAATCCTTATAAAGTCAAGACACGTATATTCTACTTTTAGAAAAAGGTATTGTAATGGAATTGATAAGAGCTGCAATGATTGGAAAAGAGGAGTATCAAAATCCCGCACCAAATCCTATTAATATTCTGGATGAAGACAAAATGAATTCATTCTTACCACCGATTGGTGAAACAAACAGTCTAACTAATGGTGACAGATTACAAGGATCTCAGAGCAAAGCAGATAGGTAAGTGTTGAAAAAGATTTGCAGGGGGGGCGTTATAACATTCAACATTCCGCATTTCACGGCGGGTTTCCATTCAGCTGAATACGATGCAGAGCGTAGACAAGTCTATAACGGTAGACCTATTGAGCCTTCAACAAGAAAGAGTACTGGCATTCACGAAGAAGTCTACAGTGCAATAACTATAACGATCATATGACTTTTAAAGTCGCACAATAACCAAAATGAGTTGAATGGTTAGTATTATGGTTATTGTTAGTGAATTCCGAAAAGCACCCCATCGATACCCAAACCATTTGTAATAATAATTAGTGAACTATATCATTTACAGACTAATTTTAGAAGAAAATCCACAATGGTCTGGAACTACAGTGGATAAAATTCAAGAAATGACTGTACCATCACCTTATACTAGTAAACCTATAGTAACAGATACTGATGATTGTAAGTAATGTGTAACAAAGAATTGATGTATCCTGAAAAATAATAATTGGCAATAAAAACTTTTGTTGGTCTAGTCCAAATCTTTCTGTTGTGATGTACTTTCAATTATCACTTTTTCTACCTCAGAGAGTACTGTTCTATCTTTTTAAACACTTTGTTGATAATTATAAATGTGGCTGTGTATTCTACATTTTAAAGTTGACATAGAGTGTTTAATATGCTAGCGAAGCTTTAAATTAAAATTCAGTAAATTGTGTATATACAAACATAGTGTCTTTTATTTAGATAACATGGTCCAACCTCCATCAACTGAGGTGTTTCGACCAGCCACACAAAGTCAACAAGCACCATTAAATGTACTAGAAAAACAACTTCCTACTAGTGGTATGATGGAAACTAATTTTACTAGTAATAGTACTTGGAATCCATTCCAATCTATGAATACTTTTTAAATTGGCTAGTTTTTAACTTTGGTATTCATGAGTGCTTATCAATTTAAAAAGAAAATCTTGATAACCAATGATATGTACACCAAAATTCAGTTACCATTGTATGACAACCAAAATGCACAAATGCAAAATTTAGTAACAAATGGCATACAAACTAAATTAAGTAACCAATGATATGCAAACCAAAATTAAGTTACCAGTTACCAATGATATGTAAACCAGTTACCAATGATATGCCAACCAAAAATGAGTTTCCTATGATATGGCAAAAATTTAAATAATCAATGGTATACCAACTAAAAATGTGTAACCAATGGTATACCAACCAAAAATAAGTTACCAATGATATTACAACCACAGTTGGGTTGCCAAATATTTGCTAACCAATAATAAGTTACCAATGGTATGCCAACCAAACTGAAGTTACCCATGAGATACCTACCAAAATTAAGATATCAATGGTATGTCAACCAAAATTAAGTCCCCAATGGAATACCAACTAAAATATAAGTAATCAATGGTATGCCAACCAAAAATAAGTAATCAATGGTATGCCAACCAAAATTAAGTTACCAATAGCATGCAAACCACAGTTGAGTTACCAAATATTTGCCAATATTAATTAAGTAACCACCTCTGAATCATTTAAGTTGTATTTTGGTTGTATTTTGTAAAAAATCTAATCTATTTTATATATTTTATTTCTTGATACAATAACATTTTCATTTGTAAATATCATACATTTATATGGTATTGTAAATATATTTTAATTTGTAGATTTTGTAAAAAAAAATGCATTTATAAATTACCATACAGTATTTTTATGATGTTGTGAAGTTTGCTGTGTGACTAGTCATTCTTTTAAATACTGTAATTTTGATATCCACTGTAATTACCGTAGAAATTTTTTATTAAAACCTCCAAAAGTATTGCTGAGTTTTAAAACATTATTCAATAAAAAATAATATTTAAATAATAGAACTACCAATTAAAATTGCACTTCCACACCAAGAATGGGATAGTTCTAATTCAACCAAATTTGTTTCAATTTACAGTAGTTCATGCAGAATGTATAAGATCAATAAACCCTACATTTTACATGCCTTAAAGGATCAAATCTTTATACATGCTTGAAAAGCATAACCTTTGATTGTCCAAAGATATATATCTGCTTTGTTTTCCTAACCACTAGTTCTACCCCACCAATGTTGGAGAGTTATTATTAATTTTTGATACTTCCATACCAAAATTATAGATAATTTAGATCATCTAAACATTATTTAAATTATTTAATGTACCACTTAACTTAGGCTACTATGTCACAAGATTGTCAGAACTATCATTGTTTATTTTGATCTCAACCTTAGATACAGAATCACCATTGTCTTCAGGTTTCAACTCTCTAACATTCCCTTCTCCATTATCTTTTGAACTAGTGTTTTCAATATCACAATTAGATTCTTGACCTTCATTGGAAGAGGACTGGTCTTCAGAAGTGTTTTTATAAATAGCTCCTTTTCGTTGAGGTAAAACTGCATAAAACGCTTCTTGCCAATTTTTACACTCTGTATAACGTAACAATATTTCAAACACTGAAATTACAAATAATTTGGTTTATTCATCTATAATGTTTGAAAACCAATTCCTTCAGTTAAGAAGCAAGTATATTTTCTGATCAATACTCTTGGTTATTATTTATATCCACTTGGCATGCAGTGAAGCTTTCCACTTCTAAAACTTCTTAAAGAAACTTGTTTGCCATTTCGGGTGTTGATTTGGACCTCCATTTATATGTGAATAGTTTTAGGAAGTACTAGAAATGTACAAAAATATATGTCGGTGTTTTTTGAGAAAAGACTAGTCATCATTTAACTTTCTCAGACGGATAATTCTTGACACAGATGGATTTTAAATTCAAAATTTTGACGGTTAGCACTATTATGATTAGCTGAGCTAAAAAATTCACTTTTCTGAGACTAAGGTACAATTGGTCAAACCAATAGCACAACTGTCCTTATAATTTGCTACTTTGTTGATCACCATTAACGCAATATAATAACCTACCATGATTAATAGTTAAAACTTTTCTAGCCTTCATATCAATATACTGGCCAATAGGTAACTGGGCATGTTGTAAACCTTTCTTCTCAGCTAATTCATAACAATATCCCTGGAAATCAAATACTTAAATTTAAAGAAGAGAAACTTTTGAAACATATCATTTTATTACATAAATAGCCAGAACCTGTTAATACATCTCCATACTAGACAAGATGGCACTATAACATAAATAGAAAAATACCAGTTAAAATTCAAATGAGTAAGTAATTAAATAGAACCTGAGATATTGCGAAATATAAAGGCAAAATTGCCAAACAGTAATGAGAAAAAAAAAATTTAAATCTGAAGAATGCAGACTGTCTATAAAATAGATAATAATTAGGTGAATCACTTGATAAATATATTATTGGAAGCAGGGAAGGGGTGCACACTATATTCACAATTTTACAGTAAACTGTCTAACCTTATAATGATTATGATCAACAAAACCTCCAATAATATAGACTTTATCATCTTCTATAGTAGATAATATATTAGGTGATTCGCTTGATAAATATATTATTTCTTCTTTTTTAAATAATGTCTCAAAACTTTCTTCTTTCATATTGATCTAAAATAATCAATACAGCTGGATAAATACATAATATCATATAACAAAATTGTATCACAGATCCTAATAAGTAGACTGAAAATCAAGTCAACATTTCAAATTTGTTCATAACAACATTTTCTTGCAGCATTAATCAATCTATATCTTATATACACTTACATCCCATCCTCTATAATCACCAATACCTTCTATTCTCTGTTTTAATTTACCACTTATACCACTCACATAGAACTACAAAATAATATTCATATTAATTAATCAACTATAGTAAATTTTCTGAACTAGCTTCAAGACATAATATTTTTCAAATTATTCACACGCTACAATTTGAACTGATTTTTTTTACCTAACATCTTGTTTGAACTACGGTATTGCATAAACTTGAATTTGTTGAGTTAAATGTATAACATCCTGAAAGTGTAAATAGAAACAGTAAAACTGATTGATACTATACATGATGGGAACAGAAGAACACTGAAAGAAAATTACATTGTCAATTTACATGGTTACATTTACAGCCTATTTTGGAAGCTTTTTCAAATAAAATACCTTGTTGGTCATCATATCATCAAATGAACAGTCAATAACAACTCTAACACAACATGTAGAATCTTTCATTCCTTTCCGTTTTAATGATTTTCTAGTTGGACCAAGAATTTCACCCTTCTCTCTGGCTTCTGCAAATTTCCGCTTTCTCTTCTGCCTTTCACAAGCCCTAAATTGTTAATACAGAATTTGATTTTAACATTTACCATCTTTGGTGAGTTAAATTAATTTAAGACTACTGGTATGCAATCTATTTATGCAATATAAGGTTTGCAACATAATTTTCTCTGACATTGTAAAAATTAAGGGATTACTGGTATTGATTTACAGAGATAATGTTAAACGGTTGTAACAAACCTTTTATCAGCTTTAGCCTGTAACCACTTCTCTCTTTTTTTAAGTTTCTTTAGCTGATTTTTAGAGATTGGAGTTGTCTCTTGTTCTTGATCATTATTACATAGTTCTATTTTCTCTTCCTTTTCCATTTCTGATCATATAAACAATATTCAAATTAGCATAAAGGGGCTATTTGAACACTTTCTCTGAGACATGTATTGTAATCCATATTCCATAGGGTTTTCATGTTCATTTCATTGAACGACTTTTCTTAAGAAAATAACTGAAAACAACACATCATTCATCATAAAACATGGTTGCATCATTAATTTGGCAAAAAAAAAGTGAAAATTTTGTTTCCAGTTTTTCTCCACAAAGTACCATGTTGTCACGTGTTAACATTGCATAAAAGAAAGATACAATGTCATTCTCAAGCATTTCTCAACTAGCTTATCATCGTAATCTTGCAGGTAATGCAGGCGGACCCTGGCTCGAGTCAAAACCTTTACTTATATAGGGATCAGATGTTGAGCTCCCAAATAGTCTAAAGTAAATGGGGACGAAGTATGCAATCGCAGTGTTTTTATACACCAACTCGATCATACAATAATTTTCTTACCTAGGAACTACAAATTATCCAATTATCTGTGTTTATTTTTCGTGTTTACATGAACCATATGGGCGCTGACATATTGAATCTCGCAAAAACCATATAATTCTCGCGAGAATAATAAAAACGACTCGCTTTGCCCGCGCTAAGCATTTTGAAACAGATACATGAACTTATTGGGCCTATATTATGAACATAAATTGTGCATCTGGAAATGTGTAGGCCTAGACTTATATCAATGTAGAAATTTCTTACTCAATCTGAATAATGAATCAAATAACAAAGAATAGGCTGAAATGTGGCAGTGGCTATTTACCACGTACATGGCTTATAGTTTAGGCAAAAGAGGTAGGCCTAACTCAAAACTCCATGACAGGAATTTAAAGACCCATGATCTACCGTCGATCTGTTTATACCAGACAGTTTACGTAACGTTAAATATTTAAAAATGCGTGGTAGATGTTTCACCAAAAGTTGTGATTCGAATTCTTTAACAATTTCTGTCATAGATTTGCCCTTTGGAAACCAACGTGGTAGGCTAATTATCAAGTCGATGGTTAAGAAATCAAGACCTTGTCACTTTCTTTAGACCATTCTTTAAAAAAGACTTTTTAAACGAACAGAAATTTTTCATACGCTATTTGCTAACTTAACTAAAACTATGCATCGAGCAGTTGACAAAGGTCTTATTTTTCATCAGCTATTTAGTAGGCCTATAAATCCCGAGAAATAGGCCTAATATTCAAAATTCGTGCATATAAGGATTCAACATCGAATTCCGTCAAAATTAAAAAACGGAGATTTTTTTATGTCTAAAATGATTCTTCGGATATTCTATAAGATAATTAAAATCGATTTTCTTTAGGAATCCCTCACCTTACTACGTCTTATAATGCAGTTCTCAAGAAGGAATATATAGGATATTCATCAGTGAACTTGCCTGGTGTCATGGAAATCTGGAAAATTGGAAAATTCATAAAATTATGTAATTATTGAAAAACGCTTAATCTTAATATTAAGCGTTTTTCGAGAGTTAATTGCATATTTATGGATAAATAGGCCTACTAAGATTTGTGAAGTTTTTATGGTTTCTGTTATGTTATTTATGACACCAGGTATATCAACTGATGAATGTATGCTCTTATTGGCCAAGTTTAAAGATGGGTTTCCTTATTTTTTAGTGTCAAATTCAGCAAACTATTTAATTAATTTTTGTTTCTAATGAATTATCATGTATTCTTAATCATATCATTATGTTCTTATATATAATAAATCATATATGTCATATAATCATATATGTGCATGTATTTACAGTATGGATAAACAAAAAAAGACCTTTTTGACCTTTCTTGATCGGTCAATTATTGGAATTCTGCTGCTAATTGTCTTCTAATTTAGCTAATTATGAATTAATTTTGGACATGTGAGACAAACTGGTATTTTTCCAAGTCATTGGAACACCTCTACTTTCTATTCATATCAGTATATAGCATTTTCATTTTCATTTTCATAAATGAAAATAAGGGAACCCATCTTTAAATTGATTAAATTTTATGTTCATTCTAAGACGTAGGGCTTATATTTCATGAGTAACCTACTCGGTATCGGCTGCAAAATGCGTCACCTATTTTCGTGTACAGTGTTTGATGTACATATAAGTCGAGAAATCACGTTGTATGGATACCCAGTGGTGTAATTATCAGTTCTTGGTATTTATCTTTAATATCAATTCATTATAAGTAATGACAAGTCTTTCAAAGAACAATGATATAAAAAAAATAGTGACTGACAAAATATAAGACATGTAAAACGTAAGGGTAATTTATTGCTAAAATTCATTGAGACAAAATAAGAATATTTCCTATATTGTGTTCCATAGAATGTTCAGCTGACATGTCAGTTTATCATGTGACTTTGTTCACTGGAATATATTCTAGCAGACTACACTTGGAATTCCAAGTACAGCTTGAGATAATAAGGAAATTTGGCCGATAAAAAATTGTGACATTTGGTAATAACCGAAATCCGCCATTTTGTATATATATGTTAGAAATAGATAATAAAGTTGACATTACCTTTGAAACGACAGGACAAATTCTGTAAGTTGGCGTTGTAGAGATAACCCATGTTTATCAAAACATGCAAATGCAGAGGTCACGCAAGGTCGCACCTGTAAATTATTATCATTTCCGGTAATGCACGAATTTAAGTTACTTGACTGTATTAGTAATCTACCAGTCGTATGTTAGATAGTCTCTTTTTCATCACAACCTACTAACGCATAGGCCTATTAATTAAGTCAGGGACAACAACACAAAGTATTGTGAAAATCGAAATTATTCGAGAATTCACACATAAAATGAATTCGAATGGAAACTGCAGTTTTAACGCGCTTACAAGAAAATTTCATTTGCAATAACTAGGCCCTAACTGTCCACCGTGGGAAGGTTGGGCTTGAAAGTGAAGACATAACACAACCTAAGCTTCTGAAGCTTCTGCGGTAGGCTTTTTCATTGGATTGCAAAAGATTTTTATTCTGATAAAACGAATAGCTAAACTAAGGTAACAAAACCGGTAAAACAAAATATTGATAGGACATAGTTCATACACCATCAGATCTCTCAACCAAGACCTGGAATCATTTTGATGGAATCATATACTGTGATTACATTAAAATTAAAGTAAAAATTGGTAGTCTGATTAAGTGAACGGGTCACTTAATCCATTGCACAATCGGCAAATGAAACATGTTTTATTGTGTGGACTATTGTATAAAAAAAAGTTGTAAAATGACAATCGAAATAATTTTTTTACGAGTTTTAAAATCTGTTGCTATCAATAATCATTAACATATAATATCGAATGTTAATTGATGCAAATGATTAGGTGGGCTATTATATTGTAATGTCGAATGTGTGAACCATGCCACTATGTTTAGAATTTTATATTGGACTCGTTATGAAAGGATGACATGATAGGCCTGTCACAATAAACTGTTAATGGAATCCGCGTATTTGTGTTATCTTTGTCATCTGTTATCTATTAGATATATAAATAAAGTAACTAATCAGTGCTTAAAACTAACCCTGATTTTGTCCTAATGAACTTTGTACGTTATATACTGCAATCCTCGTGTCAATGTACACTGTATAGTCATAGTTATCACCATTCGTCCAACGTGCAGGAAGCAGATTTGAGAAATGGCTTTCCCCATCAAAATTTGTATTGTTTTCTCAACGTTATATGTATTAGGTAAGTCCAATTAGAATACGCATTTTGCTGTTTATCTGTAAGTGTAGCCCGTGTGTACCGTCATACTGAACTTGGTGTATGGATCTGCGGAAAAACCTTGTTTCGGCGCCATGATGTGCCAGGAATAAAATAATTCCACAGGGTTGACCTATAAACGACAAAACTCAATAGAACCGTATATTAAACCTCTAGAATACAAGAAACTTCGCGTTTTCTATTGACTGACTTTTAATTTAGACTTATAAAAACATTTGAATGTAATTATTATAGTCTACTAATTTTGGGACAGGACTGTGGGAGATACTTTATGGCTAATACGATATCAATAAGCCCATGTATTACATTGTGATATTTTGAAATTATATTTTCTTTTATCATAATTATCATTACCCCGTTAAATTTGGTTTAGAACATTTACTAAACAGAATTATAACTTTATGAAACTACCGAAACCATGCTTAAATAAAGTTCCGATCGAGTAATAGCAAAATGAAAACGAAATCCCCACAAATTTATAAAAAAGTAAAACAAAACAATATTATTAAGAAACCATCTTTATTTCAATAATATGTCGTCTCCTAGTTAACTAGAAGTTGTCGCCGAGTTAACTCGAGTTTGTCACCGAGTTGACATGTCACTGAGATGACACTGAGATTCTCCCTAGGATTCCCGACAGTAAGATTTTTGTATCAGAAATTAAAATAAATTTTTTTTTTCAAGGTAGAAACTTTAATTGAATAAGTTAGGTATTATATAGGCCTGTTTCTTCAAGGCGGCAAATTATGGATAGAAAAATGCAGGTGTTGTCACAAATGATGGCTGGCTAGCATACTCTTCATCAGGGGCATATCTAGAAAATTCCTGGGGGGTGGTTTGGTTAAAGGGCTAAAAGGAGGTGTCTCTCTGAGGGGAAGTCCATTATTCTTTTACAGATTTTAGAAGGAGAGGGGTGTGGGGGGTTGTGGGGCAGAAGGGTTCATGCCCCCCCCCCCCCCACTCCCCTTCAGATATGCCACAGCATTAAACTAATCTTGTCTAATATTATCTAATATATCTTAGTTCACCAATATTATCATCACTATCACTTTATCATCAAAAATTAGGAGGAAAAGCAAAGGTCAAGTTGAAGAGGCAATTATAATATGTATGATACAGAAGTCCATTTAATTGTTCATTTAGGCTGATCCCCATTTTCAAAATGTCAAGGTATAACAAACTCAATCTAATACCTTGACATCAATTGACACATTTCTTGTAGCCAGCTTATTTGTGCAATAGCAATTTGTGATTACATGCATAGCCTAAATTCTTACTGTCAAGGGCTCTGATTGGTTGTATTCATTAGCATACAATCCAACCAACTTGCTGTTTTGACAAACTTCTGAGATTCAAGAAAAGAGCCAAGGGATGTCAAGGTATTAGACAGATCTCATAATGCCTTGTGTCATTGTGAAGATGGCTGATTCCTGACATGCAGGAAATATATAGGTTATTAGTACGATATTCTTATAAACAATGGAAAATATGACTTAAAAAGTTTCAAAACTTCCCCACTCAACATTATATTCAGTACACAGCTTTCTCATTTACTATTTTATTAGCTGCCATCATAGTGCTTATTCTAGTATATATCAGACAGAGTTATAGTCATTTAAGGGACAGATGCCATTTTTCGGGGTCTTGAATAAATGTAAATAGCCTTCAGAAGTACTAGAAATGTACGAAAATAGTAAAATTCCTTTAAAAATACTTTTCCTATATATGTCTTTTCTATATATCACAGAGTATCTTAAATTGAAGAGTCGTCATTGAAACATTAAATCCTGGATAATTCTGGACACACATAGATTTGAAGGCTCAAATTTCGACGGTGGGCTTTGAACACTGTAACTGATTGGCTTAGCTAAAAAAATTCCTGTTTCTGAGACTAAAGTATGATTGGTTGAAAAAAAGTTCTCTGTCCCTTTAATCTGATATAGAGCCCAATTTCAGGTATTGATGTCAAATTTGGATATAACAGAACACTAGTTTGCCATTTTTATATGCCCACATCTCTCTATGTGGTCGTATATTGTTGGCACCCCTGTCGGTCCGTCGATCAACATTTGCTTGTAAACGCTCTAAAAACTAGATTTTTTGATGGAATCAAATGAAATTCGGTATGTGTATACATATTCATAAAACGAAGATCAAGTTTTTCGACTGTTAGAAGCAGAGTTATTGCCCTTGCCCCAAATTCTTGAATATGCTATTACTCTCTTAGTTTTCGACTGATTTTGATGAAACTTAGAATGGATGTTTCGTTTTTACCATCTGCATGCCGTGTAGGGCGTATATGGCTGTGGTCCACTATCTTTATCTTTTCAATTTGAATAGTCTCTTAAGGTTTTATATATGCAGATATCACACTAAAACATGTCCAAAATAAGTCACAAGGTAGAAATTGGATCCATATACATTCTTGATGGGTTCCTGCATACTTTCTGCATTACATATCATTACATAATATGTTTCTGCATGCTATTGCAAATTTGTGAAGCACTTTAAGGACAGTGCTGTCATTATCCATATTGTACTGTTAATGTATATTGTATATTTATTACAGGTTCTTGTTTACAGTATGAAGTTGGTAAAATATATAAATATTCTTATGATACTTCAGTATCTTTTACTGATATAGAAAATAAAGGAGAGAAGGGGAAGAATGTAGGTTATCAATTACAAATGGATGTAGACATCTCTGTTGTATATAAACATTCACAATCCCAAATATTCAAATTAAAGGTAGGATTTCTTTCACTTTCAAGAATATTTTAAAGTTACTACAATACACTTACCTAGCACTGTTGGCTGAGCTGACCAAAATTATCAGTTGATGTTACTCTGCAACTTGGATTTATGAAATATTGGATGGTGATTGAAATCGTCCTTTTGAACACTTATATTACTCTGTAATTTGAATTTTTTTAGAACATTTGACCCATAATTTCTTTTGTTTCAGATTACAAGTGCAATGTTAACAAGTGCATCTCGTCCTAATCAGGAAAAAACTCTAGGAACATTATTGAAATATCCATTTTATTTTGAGTTATCTGAAGACAGTGTTAACCATGTATATGTTGTAGAACATGATAGTGTATTTTGTACTAATATTAAGAAAGGAATAGCAGCATTTTTTCAAGTGCAGAGAGAACCAGGTGCAAGAACTGAGGTAACTTTATTTATGCTTGAATTTTTTTCATGTACAAGGTTCTGTTAAGAAATTGAGCAAAATATGGAGAACATCATCTATTGTAGGACTCTTGTGCTCACCCTTCAGGCAGACTATAAGGTATTGATTAATGTTATAATATTATAGGTAGATGTATCAGGTGAATGTTCTGCTGTTTACAGTAAAACATCTAAAGGTATTATTAAAACTAAGGAACATTGTGAAAATATGGAAATAGCTGGTCAGTTTTCTACAACCAATCCAGTAAGTCAAAGCTTGATTCACATGCTCTATTATTTAAATCAAATAAGAATGTTTAAAGAAGATCGCTATTTTTTCGCGTAATGTCCAATTAATACCAAAAAATTTATCAATGTTCCAAAAAAATAAGAACCCGAGCAGACAAAAAATAAATACCAGCTGTAGCCAAAATATGGCCAAGTATAAATAAATTTGATCAATCTGAGCTAATGAATTGTATGATGAGATTATTAATTTTGGTCATACTTCTTACAATTATGGCGACACTTAAGTTAAACTTGTTCTGCATTGTGATTTTTGATGCTATGGAGCCACTGGTGAAAGTTTGATCGACTGACTCATTGAAAAATTTGAGGTCATATAATTGCAGAAATTCCCCTATAAGATAGTACTACCAGTAATTTGAATTTGTTACTATTTGAACTAGGCTGCTGGGGTTACAGTTAAAAGTACAACAACTTTGAATTATGAATTTAAAGAGAATATTATTAGTAAATTAGATGGTATAAATACAGTATTAAGTATTGTTGATGCTAGATCCAGTATAAATGGTGCAACATACTCTAGGTAAGTAGCTAGGACACTAGAAAATTCTTGTTACAAAAAAAGGAATGAGGATTTTGGATAAGGAAGAGGTGCATCCTTGCTCCATATCTGACAAAATAGATATCTATGACTCTGGACGGATCACATCCTGACTCTATATATGAATGTCACTGATATTTATAATTATATGTTTGTAACGAATTGTTAAAAGATAAAATCGTTTATCATATCTTGATTGATGTCATTATCTTTTGCCTAAGTGTTTTCCTTATATTAGGTCCAATAGACAGAGAGAAAAACAGAGGTATTGAAGTGTCATTTTCACAAATTCAAATATATTAAATATTGTTCTCTTGATGACTTAAAAGATAGGCTTTCAATTATTACATGTATTTTCTAACATTAGCCAAGGATTTAATTTAAAGAATACTGTAGAATCAGCTGTAACAATATCAGCAGGCTCAATGGAAGAAGCAATCTCATTATTAGAAAAAGGTGTGTAGAACTTTTGTGTACCTATACCTAAATCATATCTAAAACTTTATGCAAGCTTATATATTAGTAGCACAGTGCTCATTGTGGCTTGGTTAAACTAGGATGATGGTGGTAAATTAAAAAAACATGACTTTGAATAAGACTTTTTTTCTCCTTTTTCAAGTTGCTCAAATTGTAATGGGGGTTGTTATTACACTAAAAGAAGAGTTGTACTAAGGAAACTTTTTGGTAGATGCATCAAGGTCCATAAAAAGACAATTAGTAATTCTTGAAGAATGCAGTAATTTTTGCATCTGAAAATTATGTCAGAAAACTTATAGATTCAGAATGATGTTTAAATCTATATATTATATTTTAGTATCATTATGAAAATCAGTATTTCATTATGATAATATATTTCAGATATTGGTCAATCATTAATAATATCATTATTACCTAGTGGTTCAGAACGTCAACAATGTACCAAAAATAAATGTATACCTGTAGGTAACAGATTTTTCTATTTCAGGTGTCCGAATTAGCACTTTAAATTTTAATGATCAATATTTCAATATAGTCTATTGCATATGCATGTTTGCTGAAATTTGTAAAAAATATATTGGCATGCCTACCTTTTTAAGTCCAGGCTAAATCCTTTTCATTTTCATTTTGACTTCAAAATCAACATGAATATATGAGGATTACAGATATTTATTCTAGGCCACAGAGGTTGCTGTTTCTCTGAAAGATGATTTAGTAAATGATAAAGTTGCAACATTGGAATCAGCTAAAGCATTTATTCGAATGGTGAAAAGTTTTAGAAATAGTGGTAAAAACACTATGGCAGAAGTTTTCTCTAGTCCAGAAAGTTATTATATTATGTAAGCTATTTTATATTTATAAAAAGTTTTTTCAATTTTTTCTATTATTTTTAAAGTTAATTGGAATATCAGCCTCAAAATAGTATTTATCCTGAGAATGTCGTTGATAAAAATATAATTATTTGTAAGTTCACATTGAAAAGAAACACATTTCTCTCCTAAAAATTTCAACCTAAAAGAGTCCTAAAGTTTGGTTGAAAAGTGTCCTCCATAAAAACAAATTTTGAAGACATGTTTACTTTTCTTATCAACATAAAGACATTCTAAGACTGACAGTACTATTTTGAGGCTACTATTCCAATTCTCAAAAAATAATGGAAAAAAACTCAAAAACCCTGTTGCTTTGCTCAGACTATAAATAAGTTAAAAGGAACTTCAAGGCACATACCACACAAAGTTACTTACCATTTGTAGTCAGTTATAATTTCTACTGCTTTATCTTCATAAACTATACAATTACTAATTTATATTTTTACCAGACCACAGTTAATAGATGTGGCAGCAGCTACACAGACAGGACCAGCTCATGATGCTCTAATGGAATTATTGAATTTTGAAGATGATTCAACTGTAGATTATATTGAGAGATATTTATTAGCAGCAGCTTATGTTACTCATCCTGATGAATTTATGTTAAAACATATGTTGGTAAGTAATGGAAAACAATAACACTACTGGGTACTTTTTGATTGACATAGGAAATGGAATGCAATTAAGTTTTGCATCCTAGTTTGATGCTCCAAATATAGCAATAAGGAATGGGAATTATGACGGTTTTTCAATCTGTGTGCCAAATTAATTCAATTTTAAAAAATTGTTCTTGGGAGAACCCTCTCATACTCCCCATGCAACTATGATGCCTAACAGAGTTATAGCATTTTGAATTCAGCCAGGTCTCTAATTGAGTCAGTCTGCCCCCTATTTGTACCCTCAGTCTCAGGAACCTTGTGCGCAGCCTGTATCATACATGGTTTATTGTTACATCCCTGTAGTTAAGCTACAAAAACAGAAAGTCTTTTTGATTCAATCTTTTGTAGAAAAATTTCCAGAAGACAACTTCAGAATCATTAATAAGAGAATCATTATTATTATCTATGAGTGCTGTATTGTATACGTTCTGTCAAGTTAAACAACAATGTCAACTAAAGGTAAAATATTCATTATTGGAAAGGGTAATACTACGGAAGGGTATTAGGGCCATTCATTTTTTTTTTTTTTTTTGAATTTTCAAGTTAGTATGTTGAATTTTCAAGTTAGTAACTTGAAAATTCGAGATACTAACTTGAAAATTCAAGATACAAACTTGAAAATTCAACATACTAGCTTGAAAATTCAAGTTACTAACTTGAAAATTCAAGTTACTAACTTGAAAATTCAACATACTAACTTGAAAATTCAACGTACTAAATTCAACATACTAACTTGAAAATTCAACATACTAACTTGAAAATTCAATATACTAACTTGAAAATTCAACATACTAACTTGAAAATTCAACGTACTAAATTCAACATACTAACTTGAAAATTCAATATACTAACTTGAAAATTCAACATACTAACTTGAAAATTCAACGTACTAAATTCAACATACTAACTTGAAAATTCAACATACTAACTTGAAAATTCAAGTTACTAACTTGAAAATTCAACATACTAACTTGAAAATTCAACGTACTAAATTCAACATACTAACTTGAAAATTCAACATACTAGCTTGAAAATTCAAGTTACTAACTTGAAAATTCAACATACTAACTTGCAAATTCAAGTTACTAACTTGAAATTTAAAAAAAAAAAAAATTGAATGGCTGTAATACGCTTCCGTATAATACCCATCACCAAAATTTTTTCAGAAATTGCCTGGGAGATGCAGATGCAAATTACAAACGAGTTTGATATTCAAAATACAAATTAGTTTGATATACTAAATACCAATTAGTCTAATATTCAAAATACTTATTAGTCTAATATTCAAAATACAAATTAGTTTGTTATTAAAAAATACAAATTAGATTGATATTTAAAATACCTATGAGTTTGATATTCAAAATGCCAATTAGTTTGATATTTAAAATACTAATTAGTTTGATGTACAAAATACCAATTAGTTTCTTATTCAAATACCAATGAGTTTGTTATTTAAAATACAAATTAGTTTGATATTCAAAATGCCAATTAGTTTGATATTCAAAATACCAATTAGTTTAATATTCAAAGTACCAATTAGTTTGATATTCAAAATACCGATTAGTTTAATATTCAAAATACTAATTAGTGTGATATTCAAAATACCAATCAGTTATATATTTAAAATACCAATTAGTTTGTAATTCAAAATACCAATTAGTTTGATATTCAAAATACCATTTTGTTTGATATGCAAAATACCAATTAGATTGATATGCAAAATACCAATTCGGTTGATAGTACTCAAAATACCAATTAGTTTGATATTCAAAATACCAATTAGTTTCATATGCAAAATTCTAATCAGTATGATTTTCAAAATGCAAATTAGATTGATATGCAAAATACCAATTAGTTTGATATTACTCAAAATACCAATTTGTTCAATATTACTCAAAATACCAATTTGTGCGATATTACTCAAAATACCCTTTAATTTGACATTCAAAATACCACTCAGTTTGATATTCAAAATACTAATTAGTTTGATATTCAAAATACTAATTAGTTTTATATTCAAAATACCAATTAGTTTGATATTCAAAATACTAATTAGTTTTATATTCAAAATACCAATAAGTTTGATATTCAAAATACCAATTAGTTTGATATTCAAAATACCAATTACATGTAGTTTGATATTCAAAATACCAATTAAGTTGATATTTGAAATACCAATTAGTTTGATACGCTAAATACCAATTAGTTTGATATGCTAAATTCCAATTAATTTGATATACAAAATACCAATTAGTTTCATATACAAAATTCCAATCAGTATGATATTCAAAATGCAAATTAGACCTATTAGATTGATAGTACTCAAAATACCAATTAGTTTGATATTCAGAATACCAATTAGTTTCATATGCAAAATTCTAATCAGTATGATTTTCAAAATGCAAATTAGATTGATATGCAAAATACCAATTAGTTCGATATTACTCAAAATACCAATTTGTGCGATGTTACTCACAATACCCTTTAATTTGACATTCAAAATACTAATTAGTTTGATATTCAAAATACTAATTAGTTTGATATTCAAAATACTAATTAGTTTTATATTCAAAATACTAATTAGTTTGATATACAAAATACTAATTAGTTTGATATTCAACATACCAATTAGTTTGATATTCAAAATACCAATTAGTTTGATATTCAAAATACCAATTACATGTAGATTGATATTCAAAATACCAATTAGGTTGATATTTGAAATACCAATTAGTTTGATATGCTAAATACCAATTAATTTGATATACAAAATACCAATTAGTTTGATATTCAAAATACCAATTAGTTTGATATTCAAAATACCAATTAGTTTGATATATGCTAAATACCAATTGTTTTCAAGATACCTGCTAGGTTTTTTTTCCAATTTTGTTATTTTTTTTTAGATTGTAAATGATGTAAAGAAAGTATTATTAGAAAATATTACACAATGTGAAGATGACCAGTGTAAATTAATGTATCTAAGAGCACTGGGGAATGCTGGTTTCCCTGATACCATATCTACTATTCTTGAATTTAGTGAAAAATCAGTGTCCTCTATGGTCTCATTCACAGCCATCAGTGCTTTAAGAAGAATATCTAAAACACATTTTACCTTTGAGGTGAGCAATATGTTTTTTTCAATGATTATTTACTGTGATTGAACAGCAAACATAGCTTGTTTAGTAATTCATAAGAAATGGTGTCATAAATATATAGGACATATAAAGCATTATAGGAGGCTCAAATTTTGTTATTTTGCTTAAAGAAGAACTATTTGCATATGAAAATGAAAACTTGTTGGTTTTATTGTGTCCTGGGTCAGAAAATTAAAAGTGTCTTTTTGATGAAAAACATTCAATTTGCACCCTTGAAATGTTTTTCATGGTAGTCTCATTCCATGGTATTTCATATTCTTTGAAGCAATGATATGTATTTATGAACCTTAAACTGAATTAAATTTGACTGATAAATTTATTATACATACTCAATTTATTAATTATCATGTTTATGATATTTTTATTTTACACAGAATAAAAGAAGTTTATTAAGAATATTTCACCAAACTAAACAGCAATATGACAGTAGTGTCAGACTATCAGCATTAAATGCATTATTACGTATAGGATTATCAGTGGTAGAATTAGAGGAAATATTGTTATCCTGTCAATACCAAACACACTTTGAAATATCTACTTATGTTATTAAAAAAATTACAGATGAAGCTGAAATTGATATGAATCTCAAGTAAGTCATAGAATAAAGTCAAAATTGATATCTGTTATCTTTTCCTTTACAATTATTGTCATTATTTTTTGTATACTACTGACCAATTGTAACCTACTGACATGGTGTCTTTATCAAATGATGTTTATAGTTTACAGTAACATCAGACATCATTGGCTCTTGTCTTAGTGAATGTTTGTTTCTTTTAATGATTAAATATTTCTGATATTATAATTGCAGAGAAAAATTAAATCAAGTTTTACAACGATCATATGTTAATAATTATCATACTTTAAGTCAAAGAGGAAAATCAAGTTCATTAACCAGTTACTTAGCTAGTAAGTTTTGACTTATTATGGATCAAAATCAATAGTTTCCTTTTTTTTTTTCAAATTTTATAAGCTTTATTTAAAACAAAAAGAGAATCCTTTACATACAATTGATTGAAAATTTTCATAATTTGAATATATGATCTTTGCCTATATCCATCCCGTCATTTGTCTGTCTGTCATTTTTTGCGACATTACATTACAACACACAAGTTAAATGTGTTGTCTGCAGATAAACTAATTTTAATCTCAAGACATCTCCAATCTTAATGAGCTTCAGATTACTTACTGTATTCAAGAAGATATCCCAGTCTAAAAATATTTGAATGTGAATAACCGAAAGGAAAATTAAAAATGACAGTGTCCCTTTAATGTATTGAATGTTTCAGTTTAGTAGTCAATACTGATTAAAACAGTCCACTAGCATAAATACTAATTTGATTCTTGACAAAAGATTAAAACTGTGATCAGGGGATGAAAAGTGTTCACTCTTTTGTCAGTTCTTTGTTTAAAAACTGTGGAAACCAAGAGAGTTTTAAACCCCAAACATTGATGTGAGTAGAATTCAGGGGTTGTAGTCAAGTCATTCAGACTGCAGATGTCCCAGACTCTCAGGGTTCATTACTTGTTGCTATGAAAGCAGAGGAAAAACCTTTTGATGGAAGATATAACAACTGTTTTTAGAAAAGAAAAAATAGTAAGTATTGAGATAATGTTGTAATTTTTGCTTTTCATTTTGGTGGCTTAAATTGGTTGTAAAATGTCTTATGTATTTTTGGCTTATAATTGATTTGTTTTATTTGTATGTAGATATCATGTATTTTTTTTTAATTATAACACAAGTTTTTAAAGATGATATATTTGATATATAATAATATAATAATAATAATAATGATAATAATAAAGTTTATTCAAGTACAATACGACTTTCGTCATGGTACAAACGTTAACAAAAATAGATTTGAATTTTCTAATAAAGAAAATGCATATAATAAAATAAATTTCAAATATAGAATATACAAAAATAATTTAAATATCAAATATAGTATATTAAACAAATACAGATAATAATTTTAATTTCAAATATATTATATACAAAATAATAATCTAGATTTCGCATATTAATTAATTATACAAAATAATAGTTCAAACTTTTAATTAAGGCAGGTATATACAATAAGTCGATTGGATATATTTGATGCTATTTATATCTGTTGATAATAGGTTTTATATATTAACTACTATTAATTGCTTTTATCCAAAGATATATCTAATGTTTATATGTAAATATATTTTAACAGTAAGTGTCACATAGGCCAACGTTGGCTGTTAATCTTTTTATGTTTTATATTTATTTATCGATTCCTGACACAATTGATAAACTAAATTATTATTATTATTATTATTTTTGAGTGTAAGTTTTTATGTGGTCACTTAAAGGCTATAAAGAATTAGCAAGCTCAAGTGGCAATAGTATTATGACCAGGATCTATGCTTGTCCTTGATTAAGATCCGTAGAACCAGATATCTTTTGTGAGCTAATAACACATTTCAACCATGACATTTATTTCTGAATTTCTTTCTGTTTTCATTTGTAGGTCTTACTAAGTCTGATGAAATATGAAGTGATTTTGAAACCAGGTTTAATAATATACATTGTATGTAAGTTTTTGTAATTTTAAATAATAAAGGTGTTACCGTAGAGGTTTTAAATTAAATGATTTAAAAAATGAATTTGACCTTAAATTCTCTTCCCAATTCAGGTCATGTCCCTGAATTTAACTATAATCTGATGAGTTGAATATCTTAAATGTGTGAAAGATAACACCAATATTTCAGTTCTGCTTTTCCAAAAATTGTTTAAATATTTAGGGTGTTCATGGCATAAAATTCAAAGATGTTATACACTGATTTTATTACACCATATGTTGTCATAATTACAGGCTGAATGAAGACTTAAAGAAACAAATGTTTGAAATGATGAAGATGAGATCTGCAGATCTTTACCACTCCAGATTACTTCTAGTCAGGGCCTTGTTTACCACAGTTTTATCTGCAACAAGAAGCCACTGACAATGTTTATTAAGTTCAAAGATAAATCATGATTGAAATAAAATATTTTTTCTTGGTCTTGCTTATTCCCCAAAAATTTAAAATCAATCTGTCTTTTTGATTTGGGTGCCAGATCCACTTGCAACCATGTAACAAGGGATTCGATCATGTAACTCTGTTTGTGCTCTTCACTGAAAATTATTTCTTGCACAAATGCCTAAAAATGCTCCAGAATGAACAGTCTTTAAATGATTTGGATAAAGCCTTGTGTGTGCATGTATATGTAATCATAAAAATTATCTGAAAGAGTTGTTGGTTACAAAAATGAAACGATTCTGTAGTGTGTGTGGTTTAAATTTCTTTCTGATGGAATAAATTTAGCTCTTATAATGCTCAATTTATTTTGATAAAACTTGGTGTAAATCTATGTACAATCCTTAAATGAATATGGAGTTAAAAAAGGATCATATGTATAGCTGTATCTTACAGTAATCATAAAAAAAATGGTTTGTAATCTCAAAGTGTAAGTTGTGTAGGTCTTGGGGTATAATGCTTCTAGTTTAACCAATACTAAATCTGTTTAAAACAATGGTTGAATAGATTTTGATTAGAATATGAATGCTTATATACATTGATATTCAAAATTAACAAATTTTAATGTTATCAGAACGGTGAAAGTTCCTATGATAAAGTTTAAATAAAACTTGATTCTGGTATCCAGGATTATATTAGTTAGTTCAAGATTAGTTTGATATAGATTGTTGCCCTTGACTTCTCCTATAATATCCTTTGCAGTGATCAACAAAACGGTCCTTTTTGACCTGTAAAAATAAACCTATTGTCTTTCAAGTCTTATGATCCTGAATAAAGCTGTCATGAAACAACTAATTAGCAGGTTGCTGCAATATACATGTCCAATGTCCATACCAAGAATTTTATCATTGACCAATACAATTGACAAAGAGTCATGCATGATAATTTCTATTTTGTCATTCTTGTAGAAAGTAAAGATGTGAATAGTACATATACATTATCATTTGAAACAACAAATAGTGGTATAATGAAAAGAAGTGGTATGATAGTCAACATGATGGGCAAAAATTGGAAGCGGCCATTTATGCATGTAAGTAAATTGATATGTATAAAGGATTATTTAAATTTTCCTTCTTTGCTCACATTAATATAATTATTTTTCACAAACATTGTTTCATCAATGTTCTATATCTATTTATGTTCTTTAGAATGATATCTTTATAACTTCACGATTTATCACAAACATCATATATAAAACAGGATACTATATCTGATGATGTTCTCTAGATATTTTCTTTATAACTTTATGATTTATCACAAACATATCAACAAGATACTATATCTAATGATGTTGTTAAGAATGATATCATATGTATAACTTCATGATTTATCATAAACATCATATCAACAAGATACTATATCTAATGATGTTGTTAAGAATGATATCATATATATAACTTCATGATTTATCATAAACATCATATTCAAAACATGATACTATATCTGATGATGTTCTCTGGATATTTTCTTTATAACTTCATGATTTATCACAAACATCATATCAACAAGATACTATATCTAATGATGTTCTCTAGATATTTTCTTTATAACTTCATGATTTATCACAAACATCATATCAACAAGATACTATATCTAATGATGTTCTTAAGAATGATATCGTATGTATAACTTCATGATTTATCATAAACATCATATTCAAAACATGATACTATATCTAATGATGTTCTATAGATATCTTCTTTATAACTTCATGATTTATCACAAACATCATATATAAAACAGGATACTATATCTGATGATGTTCTCTAGATATTTTCTTTATAACTTCATGATTTATCACAAACATCATATCAACAAGATACTATATCTAATGATGTTCTCTAGATATTTTCTTTATAACTTCATGATTTATCACAAACATCATATCAACAAGATACTATATCTAATGATGTTGTTAAGAATGATATCATATATATAACTTCATGATTTATCACAAACATCATATATAAAACAGGATACTATATCTGATGATGTTCTCTAGATATTTTCTTTATAACTTCATGATTTATCACAAACAGCATATCAACAAGATACTATATCTAATGATGTTCTTAAGAATGATATCATATGTATAACTTCATGATTTATCATAAATATCATATTCAAAACATGATACTATATCTAATGATGTTCTATAGATATTTTCTTTATAACTTCATGATTTATCACAAACATCATATATAAAACAGATACTATATCTAATGATGTTCTCTAGATATTTTCTTTATAACTTCATGATTTATCACAAACATCATATCAACAAGATACTATATCTAATGATGTTCTCTAAGAATGATATTATATGTATAACTTAATGATTTATCACAAACATCATATCAACAAGATACTATATCTAATGATGTTGTTAAGAATGATATTATATGTATAACTTAATGATTTATCATAAACATCATATCAACAAGATACTATATCTGATGATGTTCT